CCCAACCCACATGGTGAATCTCTAAGGCAAGAAAATCTGCCAATAAGCGCAGGACCCACCAAGATAGAAGAGGAACTTTGTCACAACTGGTATATGAATATTCTTTTCATTTTTAAATGCAATACCTATAATAGCATTGGAAAACCCAGTAGGAGCTATATGTAAACTTGATTATTCCCAGTAGGCCACTCAAATTGAATGAGTACATCTGTTCTAAAGGACTCAGACTTACAATCAAGTTGTGCAGGAGTCTCTTCAGCGTGATTGAATTATTCTGGCATATTGGTGTTTGTCTCTATCTGATTGCTTCAAATTCATCCTTGACAACAATATTCCAGAAAGAGTCTCAGAATGCTGACAGTGCTTATCAACCCCAGCTGCTGAAGAAGAACATTGAGTGTAGCCAGCCTACAGTATGTCATGGAGAAAACATTTCCTTATTCTGTGCTTTCCAAGTCACTGATGCTGCTTCTATAAAAAACAGACAATGGTTACTTCATGTTTGGCAGCCTCAGACGTGACAAAAGAGTACTCTGTAAATCAGCTTTATAAGGTTGTTACCCTTCTCTAAATATATTACCCTTCCTTTCCTTTATACAGTTAATCTCAAACACCACAGAAATGAGGTTTCTTTTCTCTTAAATCAGTCAAGAAGCAAAGCTTTGATCACAGATTAATTTGCCTCAGTTTAAACACCAAGATTTTCAAAAGTGACTAGTGATTATGGGTCCTCCATTTTTGACTGCTAAATTTGATTCCTGAAAGGAGCCTGATTTTCAGCAGTTGAGTGCTTAGCTCTTCCTGAAAATGGGTCCCCTTTAAAGTGTCTCATTTTGGACACTCAAAAATGTAGGCACCCACATCACTGGTCACTTTTGAAAATATCACTAAAGCAAGAATCCACTTAGCCAAAGGCGCCTTGAAATTTTTATAGTGAGGTGCCTTTGATCAATTAATAAACAAAAAGAAGAAGCATACTAATAATAAACACCCAGCCTCACATTTAGGTGCCTAAAGTTATGCACTTAAATTCATATTTAAGCACCTAAATAAGTGGCCTGGTTTTTGGAGGTGCTGAGAAAATTAGGGGCCTATGGATTAAGATGCACAACTTTAGGCACTCAAGTGTGAAACTCTGGGCCTAAATCAATAAGTGGCTTAATGGCATGTGACTTTTTTCCTTAACATATATCTCAAATTCCCTGAGTTTAAAGAAACACTGGGAAATGTATTGTTGTTTTAGCTCAATATTGTAGTTTATTATTTGTATTTTGGTAGAGGTCCCAATCAGGGAGTAGGGCTCCATTGTTCTAGGTGCTGCATGCAAACATAGCAAAATGTTGATCCTTGTCCCAAACAGCTTACAATCTATGTATATGAAGAGATGCATCAAATGGAGGCAGTAGAGAGTAACAGCAAGATGATTATTATTGGCATAATAAGAAACAGTCATTGTGATTAAGTGGGCTTGTGCTGAAAGTCTTTTACTTTTCCTTTACTTATGAAGAGGGGGCCTGCATGGATTGATGGTTTTCGTACAGAACAGCACTCCAGATGGGGCTTGAACACTGTGAACCTCAGAAACAATCCACCTGTCTAGCTTCTTTACTGAGTTTTCAGAATGACATACTTTATTATAAAAATAATGCTAATAAATTGAAAGAATAGGTTCAAAGACAACCTCGTAAACCTGGGAGGCTCCCACACTTTAGCCAAGATTTCCCAACATCGCATGGATCTAAGCCACAAGCACATGTGCAATAACATGTGGGAGAAGGGCAGGGCCAGCTCTAGCTTTTTTGCCGCCCCAGGCAAAAAAAAAAGGCGGCCGTACTGCCGAAGCGTGCAAAAAAAAAACCAAAAACCCACCAAAACAAAAAAACAGCAGCCGCAGGGAGCATGTGGAGGGCGGTCAAGGCGGCTCGCAGGCGGGTGAAGGTAGGGTTACCATATTTCAGCAAGCAAAAAAGAGGACGGGAGGAGCCCCGCCCTAGCCCCGCCCCTGCCCCTCCCACTTCCTGCCCCCCCAGAACCCCCAACCCTCCCCCCGTTCCTTGTCCCCTGACTGCCCCCTCCTGGGACCCCTGCCCCTAACTGCCCCCCAGGACCCTACCCCCTACCTGTACCCTGACTGCCCAAAACTTTCTCCACTCCCCCCCCACACCACCCCCCGCTCCTGCCCGCCCCCCGCACACTCCGTCT